CTGTCTTATTCACTGCAGTCAAGGAACACCAAATCAGTCTAATTAACGTGCTCTAATTAACTCATCAATTCACATTAAGGGGACATATTGGGCTCTATTTTCGTGACAGATGTAAACCCGGTGCGGCGGGTGGCACAACTGTGAGCCAAGGGTTGGTGAGAGCTTTGCTGGCAATATGGTGGACAAGTGCAGCCTGCTTGATCTGCGGGCGGGGAGGCTGCGCCGATGTGGGAGTGTTTGCAGGCTCGCCATCAATCAAAGAGGCTGACCTATAGAATGTTTGAAATGGTGAAACAAACGCACAATAGTTTTGAGTGCAATCCCCGGGTATCTATTTTATAGAGTGTGGCATACAGTAGTTAACACCATGTATTTCCCAGAGTTATCCTTTTAAGAGCCCTGAGTCAGAGGCTCCTTCCCGGTTGTAAACGGGCTATTGAGTTTCCTTCCGTGACTTCTCACTTTAATTATCTGCCATTGACCTTATTGGCGAAGACGCTACAACTCGCAATACGAGACGGCAGACAAAACTATTATGCTGATCAAGTCTCGAAAGTTAATTTCGCCACCGAGACGGGTTTTTGTAAGAGGCGGTGACCTTCACGGTGGCAGGCAGTCGCACTGTGAGGGGAACGCTGGCGAACATTCAGCCCGGGGACGTAACTCATCAACAACGTATGATTGAGTAAAGAGGTGTTGGTGATGTGAGGAGTGCATGAACTGTACTCCAAGGTCAACTTGTTTCTGAACGTTACTAGAAATATAAATACATGAAAAGGATTTTGCACTGGCTCAAAAAAAAAAAAAAAAAAAAAGAAATGAGGAAAATATAGTCAGTCTTCTCTGCTGGCACAAACAGTCAGAAGCACTGACCTACATTTACAACTTGAAGACTTCTTTGAAAAATGTTCAATTCATCGTATTCATTCAGAAGCACTAACCTACATTTACAACTTGAAGATGAACTATTCAATTCATTCATTTCGAACAATCGATAATCTTCGTTTCATAGCGTGTCTCTTGGCCGCCCAGCTTGCAGATGTACACAGAATACAGTATGTAGATTTTTTTTTTCTTTTACCCAATCATTCAGATTTCATGTCCTGTCAATGCAGTCTGCCGAAGTGCTGGTGTTGAGCACACACATACGCAAAACAGTGAAATGGCTGTTTCCTTTTTAAAACAGTCGGATTTAAAATTCACTGTTCTGCGCCTTCGTGAAGGCTGAGGGTGGAATCGGCAATTTTCCGTCCTCTGATCAGCTATGTATTGTATGATATGTTCACCCCTCTGATTAGTTTTGCTAAATACACACACCACAGCTTGCTCGATTAGATATAAAAAAAAATAAAAAGAACATATCAGACAATGAGAGTACCTACTGTAATTTTCCTACTACGTAGTGTACTACTTCTATCCAAAAATGCCAGTGGCATAACGATGACAGCATCTCCGGCGGTGAACACCTGAGGCCCTTTGCGCCACCTGCCACTAACAGATAGTCGGATTAGAGCACCAAACGCAATCAATCATTGAGTGAGCGAGGCACAAAACGACTCAAATATTTAATACGGCTGAAAACCCCTGCAGAGTCAACGTCTGCAAAAAAGGAGAGACGGTGCACTTTGAGCGGAACACACCAACCTCCCTGACACAGTGAAACACAATACAGCCTTTCTGTATGCATCACAGCACCAGTCTAATAGTGCGCCGCACTCGGAATGTCAGGAACTTCGATGTGTGTGCAAGTGTTTGCTGGCTGATGTTGACTGGCTGCTATCTGATGTCCCGTCAGCCGCGGTAACATAGCTTGTTGATGTCACATTAGGTTAGCTGTTAGAAGTGGTCCTCCCGCGCCCTGCGTGCTGTTTCCGGAACCATTCGACATCCCAAAAGACATTCTACTTGCTACCCTGATGCCGTGTTCTTATATCCAAGTACTCCATTAGTTGCAGAGGAAACATGATAAATGGCAGCATGTCACAACGACTCAAGATGATTACTGATTTTTTTTTCAGCTTTACGAAGGTTTTCAGAACGTTGTCGTCCAACGCCCTCCTCTGGCAGAGAATTGCTTTTTGTTGTTGTTGTTGTTGTTGTTGTTTTTTTCTATTAAAACTCTTGCAGACCATTCCAGGGTGTAGTCAACTTTTTACCCAAATGTCGGTTGGTATAGGCTCCAGCTCATCCCCTGCCCTGGTGAGTAAAAGCACAATTTAAATTGGATGGATGTATATGTTGGGAGTTTTTGTTTGTTTGTTTGTTTGTTTGTTTGCTTGCTTGTTTGTTTGTTTGTTTTTACAGGGGAAGGCCCATTAAACAAAAATAAAAAAGGGCTATTATGGAGAAATACAAATAAATGACAAGAACCAAGGAAGACTTAATGGAACTAATAAGTTGCTTAGTGGAACATAGCACAACGTTGTGGATGAACTGCCTGTTAAGTCTACTGGCGAGCTAATTATCATTGACAGTGACAGCATTGCAACAAAAAGGAAGAGCACATACAGTATAATAATGTGCTGACAATTAATTTCAAGAGGTGGTGATATGTTGCTGTTTTGATTCACAATCAAGTTGAAATGGGCCCAGCAGTTAACTCTCCAATGTCCACGTGTGAACAATGGTTGTAATTACAGTTAGGACTAAAAGAAAGGGAGATTTGAAGGGGAGGCATTTATTTGTTTGAAGCTGGTGACGCACATAGCAATAAATTGCGACATAGCCTTATGAGAAGGGCAAGTCACTATTTGAGGAAATAACGTATTTATATCCTATTGCAAACATAGCTTTAAAAGTCCGATCAAATGCAGGGTTGACCAGCATTCGGGAATGGATAGTGTTCCATGGACTCTGTGAGTGACGTGAAACACCAATTTGGAAACTTGCTAAGGCTCACGCCTTTTGCCAGACGCAAATAAAGAAATAACTGGTTGTGCTGAGTGTTTGTGTATCGTTTCTCGCAAGTCTTTCGCCAAAATGACAGGGACAAGAGTTTACAACTGTAACGTTTTTACTGTAAGAGCTAACAGTTAGCCTCACAGTTAGCCTAATTTCTTCAATGTCGTCTTCTTCATATTTGCCAGCCGCATGGAGCCGCTGTGGCACCATGCTGTCGCTCAAAGGTCAGTATCGGTACTACAACAGACATCTACAGTAGTTTAGGGGAAGACAGGAACGTGTCTGATGCTAAAACAGGAAAATTACTGGTGGATTAAACAGGAAATTTAATTATGTGACACAATGAATATATGTACAATGAATAGGTGTTCATTATTCACAACATTTTAGTCTGTTTTTGTTAAATTGTGCTCCACTTTGAAGCATTATAGTGACTTCATTTAATCAAAATATAAACCTTTCGAGAGATGCAAGATTGACATAATTACAGCCTGGTGAACGGTTTATGGCTGACATGTCATTTCACAATCCTCTCAAAATGTTGTTGCCAGTGTCTTCTCTGGTGCTATGGGTGTGGAATTGTCCCGTTTTCGTTTCGTACCACACATCCAAGCTTCTCTCGCCTGACATTCTTTCCTGTTGAAAACTTTCAAGTGCCTTTTACCACTTGTCCTCATTCCGCAGCCCCTCCCCTCATGTTCTCAATTCTGCTCTTTCTTTTTGTTGCACGTCTAGATCGGCCTCATACACAACATGATTTCCATCTCCTGCTCCTCTGTGGCCTCACTTGTTATTTTCCTGGGAGGAAAAGCTGTATGGTAATTATGAAAAGATGCAACAAAATACGTCTGAATGTTTCTGCCATGATTAAAAAGATCCATAATCCCTTCCTGAGAGAATACTTGCAGAGCTAAAGTGGTGTGGATTTGTTTTCTTGGTTCTCGATTCATTCACAGCGTACACAGTTCTTATCTTCAATAACAATTTAATGAAATATAAATATTTATGACTCTTATCCGTTTTCTATATCATGATTTGTGAAGGAAAGTGTACCTTTTCATTGTTTCATCACATTAGTGTTTCTGAGTAACACCATTCTCTTACAGCTGGCCATAGCTCTCGTTACTTTATACTTTCTCAAGATTTATTCAAACAATAGCCCTAGATAAATAATTCCTACGTCCCTTGTGAGCTTATCTGCCTAAGATTACCACAACGAATACTCAAACGTAATTAGACTCAATAAATGTTAAATAACAACCTTCGAGATATGTTCCTTTTCTTCTCAGTGTGAGCACTATATAGTTAAAATAAGATGGAAACTATTGTGTGAATTTTGAGAAGTTTGTTTTTTCATTCTGTCACTTCATCGAAATGCGTATTGCATATTACTGACTGTATTTTGTTTACTTTTGTACTTAATTACGTTTCAGAGTCTGTACTTCAACTTTTATTTCAGTACAAAACAAGATTTGAAGCAGTGTTTATACTTTTACCACACTTAAAAAATCATTCAGTACATCTACATCCATCCATCCATTTTCCGATCCGCTTATCCTCACAAAGGTCGTGGGGTGTGCTGGAGCCGATTCCAGGTGTCTTCGGGCAGTAGGCGGGGAACACCCTAAACCGCTTGCCAGCCAATCGCAGGGCACACAGACGAATAACCTCACACCTAGGGACAATTTAGAGTGTTCCATCAACCTGCCATGCATGTTTTTGGAATGTAGGAAGAAACCGGAGTACCCGGAGAAAACCCACGCAGGCCCAGGGAGAACATGCAAACTCCACACAGGGAGCCCGGAGCTGGAATTGAACCCGGTATTTCTGTGCTGTTTGGTCGATGTGCTAACCACTGGCCCGCCGGGCTGCGCAGTTGTACATTAAAAGCAAATTTTGCAACAGCTTCCTGTACACTCTAAGCATTTTGCAAACCTCAAAGTCTCACAATATGAACGATATCAAGAACTAACAAAAACAGACGTGCGTATGTGTCTCGCCTTGTATGAACTAACATGTTTATTTATCAAGTTCCTGACATCAGGAGCCCATAATGTCACTCGACTACCGAGAACTCATGTGACGTCAAGCTACAGCTGTGCTCGATTTGCGCATGCGCGTTATTGCCCCGACTATACCGTCTGCTTTGTTGGGACCATCGATGCTGCTGGGACTCTCAGCGACTCCGCTTTTATTGTTGACCGATGATGGAGTAGAGTCAAGCGTTAGCTACTTATTCAACATCCTATTTGTGATTTAAGGGAGTAGCGAGCACAGTATTTTTTTTTTTTGTCTTTGACGCCGGAGACGACAGAGGCGAGGAGCTCCTGTATATAAACAAAACACAGCGCGAGCTGCTTTTAAGGTGGCACGTCATCGGCGACAGCTGGAACAACGAGAGCAGGCTCCCAGGCCAGCTTGGTCCTTCGGCGAGCTCGACGCGGAGGAGCTCGGTGTCCAGAAAATGGAAGTCTTCGCTCGGCCTCGTCTGGAGTGAAACTCCGTAACGAGCGAACATGAGCGAGGAGGGTCGTTTGTTGTCTGGACGGCAGCTCCTGGCGAGTGAAAGAGGGGGTGACTGTACCTGCTGCTGCCCCCGCTTGACTGAGGAGAGAGGCGAGCTTGTTAGCAAAAAGGGTGACCGCAGGCCCCCCGGTTCTCTGGCCCGGTCCAAATAGTGCTTAAGCGGACTGAGGTGCAGCATGGAGACGGTGGGCAGATTCGAGTTCAGTCGGAAGGACCTGATCGGACATGGCGCATTTGCGGTCGTCTTTAAAGGCCGAAACCGGGAGGTGAGTGTTCGTTTTCCGGACGGTTACGCGTTTTCAGCGTCGCCACGACTTCTGCTGTTTTGGTCGAGAACGTTTACAATCGCATTTTATGTGTTGGACTAAAAAGAAAACGAGCAATTGGCCATTTGTCGTTTGTTTTCGTGGTGCGACCTTAAGAGGCCTAGCTACCCGAACGGGATGTTCTTGAGCATAAATAATATGGTAAACAGAAATACGGACATCAAATCGAATGGCTGTCACCATTTGAAATGTGATCGAATATCAGCTATCTGCTTCACGTGGTCACACATTTACCTAATTTGAGACGTTTTTGCCTCTTTTGGCTGACATGATGCGCGAGGCGTTTATAATAAACATGTTGAAACATGTTCTGCAACTGCCATGATCAAGACTATGATTCAGACACAAACCGGTAATATTAAGAGCCCTTGTGAAGACAGGTGTCATCTTAATCTGATTTGAAGAGGTCTGCTCCACTTTTTCCTTTTACGTTGGTGCATAGATTAAGACGACATGATAACAACAATCGTAAGATTCCCCTTTTCTTTCACTTTACACATACCGTGCCTGCCAGTACAGTTCGTTTTTTTTCCACTGCCCATCACGAGCACATTGCATCAGAGCACAGGAAATGTTGTAAAAGATGAAGTTGAGAACGTTCACGTTTATTCCACTTGGCAAGCGATTATGTAATGTGTTCTGGGGACCAACTTTCACGTGGGACCCCCCCCCCCTTCCCCCAAACCCCCGC